CAAAAAAAAAAAAAAAAAAAAAATCAGTGTCTGATGCTTATATGGCTAAAGCTGGTACTGGCTCCAAACCAACAGGTGAACTTCAAGATAACAATACAAAGGATATCCCAAACTGCATCCTTACAATTCCACTTAGGCATCTAATACAGACTTCAGTACAGTCAAAATTGGACTCGTCCTGCTCCTGGCTTTCCAATCTCAGTGGGAATAGCACTGTCACCTACACAACCTAAAAATGATACACAAGCCAACAGCCCATGACGGGTCTTTGATTCATCCAATTTCATCTCTCACATCTGAACTATGAGCAGGATCTGTGATTCTCCTTCCAGAATAGATTCTACTTCCATCAACATCTCCTTATCTGTCCCCTACTTCGCCTTTGTCTAGGCCACCAGCATCTTTAGCATGGGTTACTACAACAGCCTCCGATCTCACCTCCCTTTATGTTCTTACCTCTGGAAATCCATTATTCTTCATTGAACCACCAGGGTGAGTATTTAAAAACCATCTTCATGATACACTCAGTTTAGGCCCTCTAACAACTGCGCGTTGGAGGAGGGCTAACTTGAGTGTCCTTTGTATGGGTTTGAGTGGATTCCCTGGCATTCTTTCCTGTAGGCATTGGAGTGTGAGATAGTCACACTCTTTGCTCTTCGGATGTGAAGGGTCACCAGCTGTCCTAACTCCATGATGGTATACACAAACCTCTGTAATCCAGCCCTGTCCACACCAGCAGAATTATCTCCTAGTGCTTGGTCTCTTTGCTCCTGAATATTCTATCATGCTTGCCTGAGGGCAGCCGGCCTTGCTGGCTCATTCCTGGGAGCATTTTGCTCCTCGATTTTACAGGGCTGCCTTTTCCTGACACTTTGTCCTCAGTTCAAACATCGCCTCTTTCCTAAGGTCATTTTTCCCCGACACCCAATATCAATCAGGCCTCTGCCCAGCTTTCACTTCACCATCTATTTCATTTATGGTACTTGTCGCCATCTGACACTGTGACTCATTTATTGTGATTTGCTTAATTATATTTTATTGTGATTTGCTTAATTTTTGTGATTTGTTTACTTATTGTTTGTGGTCCCCTATATGCCATAAATGTCAGGTGACGGAAATATTGTCAGTTTCTTTAACCAACAAGTCTTCTAACAACATGAGCATTGGCCTAGCATATAATAACATTACCCCATAAATAACCCTGTATTAACAAATGAAGGATAATTATCCACTAGTTACAGTCTTTTGACAGTCATTAAAACTATAGTTAAAAGCCGGGCTCAGTGGCTCAGCCTATAATCCCGCGCCTTTGGGAGGCTGAGGTGAGTGGATTGCCTGAGCCCGCGGGTTCGAGACCCGCCTGGGCAGCGAGACCTCATCTCTACAATAAATCAAAACATCAGCTGGCGTGGTAGTGCATGCCTGTAATTCCGGCTACTTCGAGGGCTGAGGCGGAAGGATCGCTGGAGCCCAGCAGGTAGAGGCTGCGGTGGCCGGGAGCGGCCACTGTACTCCAGTCTGGGTGACAGAGTGAGACTCCAACTCAAAAAAAAAAAAAGTTTCATGCAGATGGGAGACCTGGAAGTCTGCCAATGTTCAACGTGTAAACTCTGATCCAGTAGGAGACAGTGAGTTCTGAAGACAGATGATTTTGGCATTTGTTTTTTTTTACATTGTTTTAACAAGCAAAAAAATTTTGTCGGCCTGTTGAGAAACAGGCAAACCATGAATAATTGGATGCTATGGACTTCTGTACTAATGTTGTTCGGAGTGTTATCTTTACCATTTCCTGTAACTGCCAATTACTGTGTGAGTTCACATGCAGGACTTTTCCTGAATTCAATGAGTGGATTTATTTACTAAAACAGGAGTGATTCAGGTTGTTTGTTTTGTTTTCTTTTTTTTGAGTTGGTGCCTCACTATGTCACCCAGGCTGGAGTGCAGTGGCATGCTCATGGCCACCGCATCCTCAACCTGCTGGGCTTAGGCAGTCCTCTGCCCAGCCTGCCAAGTAGCTTGAACTTGAGGTGCACACCACCACTGCCAGCTATTTTTTTGATTTATTGTAGAGACAAATCTCAACAAGTTGCCCAGACTGCTCTTGAACCCATGGGATCAGGCAATCTTCTCACCTCTGTCCCCCCAAAGTGATGAGATTAAAGGCATGAGCCACCATGCTTATTCTGGGAGCAGTACATTAAAAGGAGTTGTCTCACTGCATTTACATGACCTCATTTCTGCTGGAACCAAAAATAAAATTTCACAACAGCATCTTGCCACAAATTGAGTAGATATATAATCCAACTTGAATTTCTCTGCAGTAAATGCCCTGACTCTAGTTGTAAACCGAATCTGAGACTGTTTGCTTATTCTTTCTTATACAGAATGATCAGTAAGAAATGCATCATAACATCACAGCCGGAAATCCCTAGGTCATCAGAGCAAAATGTTCCATTCATAGGTGAGAAAATAGAAGCCCAAAGAAAGGTTACAACAGCCTGAAGGTCATAGTGATGGCGATAAAACCATGTGTTCCAATTCCTATGCCTGGTGCTCTTTGGTGCCTTCATTAATTAATATCTACAAGCAACTATGGGTGCAAGCCTCTTTGCTAGGACTAGTGACAGAAAGACAAAAAAAGACCCACCATTAAAGTCTACTCAGGAGCTGGAAAGCCAGATGGTAGTTAGACTATGTGGGGCTCATGTATCAATGAAGACAAGCAGGAGCTCCTAAAGAACCACAGAGGAGATGTCTAACAGTGGAGCAGGTGGTAGCAAGACCTGGAATGCTGGAGTGGGTTTGGTGATGCATTGGGTTTAGGCATGATAGAAAATATTCAAGATGGAGACATCCTGCAGGCAGCTGGTATAAAGCTCAGGGACTCAAGAGAGATGTGAAGGCTCAAGCATGGTCTTAAGAGATGTTAACACGTCGGACAATGTGAGTTCACCTAGTGACCTTAGGGGCTTGCTGGAGAAGAATGTCTTCATGCTGCCTCTCAGTGATGCAAACGCCAGGGGCCACCTGCGCGATGTCCTGAGTGTGACTCTCCTTCTGAGTTTTCCTTCTTTCCAGTAGATTCAAATCTGAGACAGCCTAAATGAGGTCTGTGATGAACCACTTACGAGAAAGGTAAAGGGAAAAGGTCTGGTACTGTAAGGGTGGATTGTGATTACTAGGGTAAGACCACAAATGTACCCACAGAAATACACATGACAGTTGAGAATAAACTCACCCACCTGACTAATAGTAGTATTTTTGTTATGTGACTGCATTTGGTTATATTCCTTTTCAACATGTAGCATTACAAAAATAAACATAATATATATGCATACTTGCAAATGTTGTCATCTTGGGTGAGTAAATATATTTGCTAGAAAGGTCATAACAAATGCTGAACTCATGTCTAAAATAGTCTATGTCCTTGGAGAGTCTTATGCTTTAGAGGATGAATCTATCTTTTTATTTTTAATAATGGATCTGATTGTATATGGATTATTCTATGCTTATATTTTATACACATATACAATTAAAAAATGATTTATTAAAGAAAATATGCTTCATATTTCTCTTTTAAGGGAGAAAAGATTAGAAAGAAAGAGAATGAGGATTTATTTTAATGTACTATTTCCTTAGAACAAATGACAGTTTATGAAAAAGACGTACTCAGCAAACAAAAATTGTCTGATGATTAATATGTTTTTTCCAAAATTTATGAGTTCTTTAAGATACACTAAATCATTAATAAAGCAGAAAAATAACAACTCTGACATGTTTAATCTCTCCTTACTCAAAATGGAATGAATTTTTTTTTCTCCCAAAGGCATAAGGGTTAAATAGCTAAATCCTGCTTTTCTGAAATTTTCATTTTAGCATGACCCTAGACTCATACAAGCTGCAGTAAAATTTAAAATCCTCTCTAGCCCCAGAATGAAAGTAACCTTGTATACAGGTCTCTTTGTTCCAAGGTGGATGTCTCTAGGATGTGGAAGAAAACTGTGAAGGTTTAATTTTTGCCAACTCTATGGATGCTGGAGAAATGCATCTTTTAAAGATAATTTTGTGGTTAAAAAGGGTGCTAAAAATATTCTTGCGTGAGAAGATGTGTGGTCCATTCTGACCTAACAAGAAACGGCATTCACTCCTAGGGTGGCATGTCTGGTGTGCAAAGCTGAACTTGAAACTTCCAGGCTTATTTTCCACCTTTCCAGCTTTCTCTTTCATCACTAGAGAGTGTCAACCGGTCAGAGAAGAAACCAAACAGTGCCTACATAGGAAGTGATTGCTCTACTTGGAACTCATCAGAATATCTGCCAAGAGGATTCTAGGAATGAACATTTTGTCCTTAGAGAAATGCAACTCTCCCTTGAAAGAATGTTGCTTATAAAGGTAGAGACCATTGAGGCTAGAAGCTCACCCATCCATCACCACTCAGAATATATCAAAAGACAAAGCAGGTATGGTAAGACCAGCCTTGACCATCACAGCGGGATTTCATAGTATCAGAGAATTCTGTGACTCTTCTAAAAGTCCCCAAAATTCACTCATGTAATAACATGATCCCATGAAAATGTAATTGACTTTAAACTGGTATCAAGAAGCTGTTGAACTGGTATCAAGAAGCTGTTGAACTGGTATCAAGAAGCTGTTGAACTGGTATCATGGCTGTTGAATTCTCTTCCTGTGTAATACTGAGCCTAGGATGTTTGTGCTGTCAATGACCACCAGGAACTCCTGACTTGGAACAGCAATTGCACTTGTGACAGCAGTGCTGAATAGTGATGCAACTAAGTACTTGGTCTGGGTGTCAGGTGACTCAAAGATTGCCACAGAATGGTTACATTTTCCACTTAAGATCACTTGACCAGCTCTTTATTCATGTGGGATGAAATGACTAGAGTATTTTTGTTGTTGTTCTTTGGTCATTTATCTTAGTGAATTTATTGGCTTCTCAAATGTAAGGTCGTCTTAGATACATTTTTATAATCGTAAATCAACCTCAAACAATATTTGTTAAAAATTCTGGTTCTACGATCAAAGCAAAACTTACCTGTACCAGGCAATCACCCGATTGGAAGTCGGTCTTCCTAGCTTTTGAGAAGTGGCATTTGTCATTGTTTGTGGTCAGAGGAGTGTCTGTCTTTGGAAGTCTGTGCTCTGTCCCGCTGTCCACTTTTGCCCTTTCTAGGTGGGATCCAGTCATCTCCTTGAGAGAATCTATGCCTTTTTTCACGTGAAAGTCTTGCCCATTTCCAGCTTCAGGGTTGGGGCCCTTCTCCGGCTCAAAACTGAGGTCACTGGCCACCTTGGATTCTTCGGGGGACTTGCTGGCAAAAGACTTGGAGATGAACTTCAACTTTCTTGTTCTTTTCCCCTTTTTTGCAATTCGGTCACCTAACCCCAAGTTCGGTATCTCCCCTGGTTCAGAGCTGTTGCTACTATTACCATTATAAGTAGAAGGGGCTTTGCGCTCAAAGCGACGCAGCATAATTCTGTAGATGAAGCTGCCATTCCAGCATTGAGCCAGGTAACTGAAAAAGACAGAGGGACTATTTGAACCTCACGTACCCTTCCTGATCGGCACAAGGATATAAGCGCTCAAGGGCCCACTCGGGACCCATGAGACTAAAAGTCTGGCTGATGGATTGAGGTACTAAGCTTCCTTAAGAGACTCAACACTCAATTTAATCTGTATGCTAAAATTTAATCTGTATCACACCCAAACTCCCCAAACACATAAAAATGTCCATGAATTAGAAATTACTGGTTTAATTACTAATTAACTCCTATAGTATGAGGAGTTAAGAATCTTTCTAGGAACAGAACTAATGCTAACAAATGAATGTTAATATATGAATGCTAGCATATTCAAAAATAAAATCCTTTCCTACTCATTCAGCACCTTTCTTGCATCAGAACTGTGAGACTAGCTGTGGTTGTGCCATGGATGTGCAGTGACTGACACCTGTATTTCCCAGCAGCCCAGATGAGAGGATTGCTTGAGGCTGGGAGTTTGAATCTAACGTAGGCATCAGAGCAAGACCTCATCTTTACTAAATAAATAAATAAGTGAATAAATGCTGGGCATGGCGGCACACACCTGTAGTCCAGCTACTTGAGGGATGAGGCAGAAGGGTCACCTGACCCTAGTACGATGAGCCAGAAAGGAACCACTGCACTCCAGCCTCGGCTATAAAATGAGATCCAAACTCAAAGAAAAAAGAAGAAGAAGAAGAGAATTGCTAGCCTTCAATCTGCCATTCATATAATTTTGATGAAATAAAACTGCAAGTCCCAGGATAGATAAAATGGATTGGGGGAAATGTAAAATTCTGATCTTACCATCAAATCATCCATGGCACAACCACAGGAGTCTCTGCCTCCTCATTGAGTTGAGAGGAGAGCTAGCTGACTTTAAAATGTATCTGACTAGGCTCTGGAAAATGCATGCTACATTGAATGAGTATCAGTCTCACTTCTTTGGGACAGTCCTGGCTTGTCTTCATAACACATACGGATTGTCCTTTCCAGTTGAATATCAAACTAAGAGGAACACTGACAAAGTGGAAAACACACAGACAAAGTGGTCAGGACCAAGGCTGTTGGAAACTGTCAACAAGGAGCAGTTGGAGGAATAAGGAATGCCCAGCATGGAGAAGACAGGGTTGGTTGCTTTTTCATAGCTTTGAGGGCTGCCAAATATTTTGATGCAGGAAATAATAGAATGAAGATCATATAGACAGAGCATGGTGGCTCAAACATGTAATCCCAGCACTTTGGGAGGCTAAGGCAGGAGGGTCACTTGAAGCCAAGAGTTTGAGACAATTCTGGGCAACAAAATGAGACCCCACTCTCTACAAAAATATAGAAAAATCATCCAGAAGTGGTGGTGTGTGCCTGTTGACCCAGTGACTCAGGAGGCCGAGGTGGGTAGATTGCTTTAACCAAGAGTTTGAGGGGCGGTGAGCCACGATCGCGGCACTGCACTCCATCCTGGATGACAGAGTGAAACCAGGTCTCAAAAAAAGAAAAAAGTAATATACGTGAAGTATGACACATGATAACTGCTCCAGATCTTAAAGAATAACATGAAAAGAGACCATCCAATGAAATGAGTAATAAGTGGTATTCAGGACCAGATCATCAAAGATTTAGCAAAGAAAATACTTACTGAAAGTCAGGAAAACAGCCTGGGCAGGACCTTCTTCTACCCATGCTTCTTCTACCCATACCAAATTCAAGAGACACAACAACTGTCTGATGAGTTCAGGGAAATGCCTTCACCAACTGCTATCTTGCCACATTCTACTCATCACCGGTTTCCAAGCAACGGGTGTCAACAACAAACCTCCACCAATCAGACCTGCTCGGGTCTTCATATTCCCCCACACACAAAAAAACACCTGGGCTATAGGCAAAGTAGCCTGTAAAGAAATTAGGACTTCAGGGCAATAGACATTAAGGTGCCCTTTCGTTATCTTGACACCTGGGAAGTCAGAGTTGAGGACTGGAGTAGTCATTATGTGGGAAGGAGGCCAGGTCTTAAAAGTCATCCTCTCATCTATTAATAAGTTTTCACTTAGGTCGCTGGCAAGGAGAGAGAGAAGGAGAGGTGACCAGCTATGTTTGAAAAGCTCTGAATTATGGGCCAAATGCTTTCATTCCCCCATTCCTCATGGTCAAACGTTAACACAATGAAAGGGACTGTCTAACAAAACAAGAGAATAATAATTCTGAAATTTCCCCATAGAGTAACGTGAACAAAAATAAGCATCTCTTACATCAACACAACTTAATAGAAATGTTCCTTGATCCTAGGCTACATATCTTTTTTTTTTTTTTTTGAGTTGGAGTCTCACTCTGTCACCCAGACTGGAGTGCAGTGGCCACTCCCAGTCACTGCAGCCTCGACCTGCTGGGCTCCGGCGATCCTTCCGCCTCAGCCTTCCAAGTAGCTACAACTACGGATGCACATACCACGCCCAGCTAATTTTTGATTTATTGTAGAGATGAGGTCTTGCCAAGTTGCCCAAGCGGGTCTCAAACCCACGGGCTCAGGCAATCCACTCACCTCAGCTCCCAAAGCTTTGGGATTACAGGCTTAGCCACCGAGCCCGGCCAGCTACATATCTTGATGGCAAATTTATATACCCAAAAACAGGAACATAAAAGATGTCATACAGACCCCAGGTTCTTCTAGGAATTAACACAGGATGAGGTGGCTTGAAGACCTTACAAAGGGGTCTAGAAACTGGACATTAAACCTTGCTCTCAGCACAGTTTTTCTACAATGACTAGGTTTCATTTATTTGAATTCTATATATTTTTTTATACTAGAAAAATTCATGGAAAGGTATAAAATCCTAAGAGTATGTAGCCAGGTTGTATGGTTGATTTTGAGCAAAACCCTGCTAATTTCAGGTAGCTCACATTTACAATTCCAACACTTTGGGAGGCCAAGGTGGGTGGATTCCTTGAGTCCAGGGATACAAGACCTGCCTGTACAACATAGCAAAACCTTGATTTTTTAAAAAAAATTAGCCTAATATGGTGGCATATGCCTGTAGTTTCAGATACTTGGGCTGGGTTATAACATTGGTCTAAGCCTTGGAGGTCAATGTTGCCATGAACCATAATTTTCTTGGCCTTGGAATAGCAATTCTAGCCCCTGTATTCCAACCTGGCAGACAGAGAGAGACCCCAACCACAACAGCAGCAACAACACCAACACCAACACCAACATACATATGCTCAGATGTTTTGACAATTGGTTCAGTATAGTACAAACAGGACCAGATACAGAGCTGGACACCCAAACTTCATTCTGGCTTTGGCCCAACCATGTAACACAATGATAATTACACAAATTCATTAACTGATAAATGTATAAACAAATTTTGATATATCTATATAACAGAGTATTATTTGGCAATTAGAAAGAATGAATTATAGGCTGCAACATGGGTGAAACTTGGAAACATTATGCAAAGTGAAGAGGCCAGATCACAAAAGATCACATATTGTAAATTCCTTTCTATGACAGTCCCAGAAGAGGCAAATCCAGAGAGACAGAATGATCAGTGGTTGTCAGGGGCTGGGGAGAGCTGAATTGGACAACTTGCTAACAGGTTCAGGTTTTTTAGGGGTGAAGGAAATGTTCTGAAATTAGACATGCTGGTGGCACAACACAACACATATACTAAAACTGACTGAATGGCACCTGTTAAAATAGTAAATTCTATGTTATGTGAATTACATCTCATTTAAAAGCCAGCAAAAAGCACTGGATAGGTTTTGAGTTGATTCTTTGACTCGACACTATATTATAGACATAAGAACTCTCTTAACAGAAGAAGAGACAGCAGCTCACAAATATTAATTAGTTTGCCCAATTCACATAGCTACTAAGTGGGGGATCCAAGTCTACCTGATTCCAAAACCCATGTTGCTTCCACTGTGCAATTATGATCTTTAAGTCCTTACCAACTTTGGGTTTTAGTTTCCTCATCTGTAAAGTGCATCATCTCTCAGTGGCTTTCATGTTCTAATACTGTAGGTGCTAGATTCCCAGGAAGAGTTCTGGTGATAAGATAGGCAACCCATTTCAACAGTACTGCTCCAGTGCCCAGGACCGCACATAAACCTTTAGCAATGGAACATTCATTTTTATGTCCAAGTTGTCCTAGGACTCCCAAACATTTACTATCAACCTGGCAAAAATACATTCAGCGTTGGTTTTGGAAATTCACCTTTTATGGTAAAACTTTGAACAACTGGAGGGCTTGTATGCAGAGACCCTCTTTTTATTTTTTATTTTATTTTATTTTTTTGAGTTGGAGTCTCACTCTGTCGCCCAGACTGGAGTGCAGTGGCCGCTCCCGGCCACCGCAGCCTCAACCTGCTGGGCTCCGGCGATTCTTCCGCCTCAGCCTTCCAAGTAGCCGGAATTACAGGCAAGCGCTACCACGCTCGGCTGATTTTTTGATTTATCGTAGAGATGAGGTCTCGCTGCCCAGGCGGATCTCGAACCCGCAGTCTCAGGCAATCCATTCACCTCAGCCTCCCAAAGGCGTGGGATTACAGGCTGAGCCACTGAGCCCGGCTGAGACCCTCTTTTTAGTACCAAAAAGGCTGGCCCATCGATTCTGAATTCAAGACTTAAATATCTTTCCCCTCCATCCTATCACAGAAGACCCAAGAACCTTGGAAAGTGCCTGTGACTGAGACAATATTTTACTTCTTCTGCAAGGTCCACACTTGGCAAAATGACAAAGCCACGAGGAGTTTATCTTGGGTTCAGCACCAGCTTCCTTTCCTTTCCTGGCTTCCTAGCCATAAATAAGACCTTAAAGGACCTTCATGGCAGGCTATTTTATTCCTTTCCGGACACTGAATTTTCGAAGGTCATCCTGAAGACAAAGTGTAATGAATGAATTATTGATGCTTTAGAAGCTAATGAGAAGGACTTTTAGGCGGAGGGTAATTTTC